ATTTAGTTTTTCTTTCCCACTGTCCTTCCCCTTCAGTAGAATAAATAATGAAGAACTAGTAGAAAAATTTTAGCCGTAATTCTCTTCTCTATTTTTTTTTTTTTTTTAAAATAGGAGGGGGGATATGGATATGAGGCTGTTGTCCAAAGAGTTTAATTCTTTCTCTGCCCTGCCTTCCTCTCCCACCTCCCACAGTCATTCCTCACAGCCAGAAGAACTTGTAGTGCACATCAGCAAGTGAGACAAGCAGGCCCTAAGGAACAATCTGTGACTTGAGTTTTAAAAGCACGGTTATGACTGGAAATGTGGAAAGTGTTTATCAAAATCCCAGACTCCTTTTTAAAACATGTATAACATTTTCGCTCTTTAAATATCGCTGAAGTTGGTACCTCCTTGGAAGCTAGTTTAGTCACCTGAAGTGATGGTTTCTTGAAAGAACTAATATAAATATTTTTAATAGGGATACATTTGGCAACTGATTAAGGGTAAGGGGACTTTTTAATTAGAAATTAACTGTACTTACAGAGAAAACCTGATTTTTATTTTTAATGCTTGAGTTGTAATACAAGCAGTAGAAGAAAAACCTAATGTTGGAGGGGATAAAAAAAAGAAAATGCAACAACCACCTGCTGGTGCAGCATTTTTCATGTCTTTCCTCTCGTGGGCTGCTTAGCCTGCACAGCAGCACCCTGATTTAATTGGTTTTGATGGACCAGTTACATGACAGTGCAGTTACTTGGCCAGACTTCTCTTTTTCTGCACCTCCTGTATGTTGGAGGAGATAGAAGTATTCAGATAACCAGCTTGAATATCTTTAGTTGTGTGGGAATTCTTGACAGAAAGTGAGTGTTGTGTCACATACTTAGCTGCTTGCTTATTACGCATGTCCTGGCTTTATATCTAACCAGGCACCAGGACCAAGATCCAGATCTGCATCTCAGTCTTCAGCACACATGGTATGCCACCAGCAGGCTGTTTCTTTTGCTAAATCTTCATTCTTACTCGTGTTTATCTTTTTACATGCTTTTATGTCTTTTCTTATTACTAACTCCTCAAAGAAGGAATTTGTTTAGCAAGATGAAATGTTAACCTCTGTCACTCCGGCAGCGATAACTTTGTACTTTTCCTGAATATTTGTCATGCAGGGCTACGGGCAAAGATCCCGAACAACTTCAGAGTCCTCTGCTCATTCTGTGGGACGAGAGAGATCCAACTCTGCAGCAAAACAGCCCTCTCCTCCTCCCTCTGCTGCTGCAGGGCAAGAGACTAAAAAAGAAATAAAAAAGGAGCCAGCACCTAGAAAGGTAAACTTTGTAAGAAAGGTGGCTATAGCTGGAGATCTTTTAATGCATGGTAACCCCTGGTTTAGGGTACTGATTTAAGAGCTCCTGATAAAACTGTTTCTTTCTGTTTATTAGGTGCAATGCTGGGCTCTGGGTTGGAGTCCCTAACAGCAAAGGAAGTGTCGCATGAAAGTTTCTTTTGATCTGCTGCTAAAAAGCAGTGCTGAGGGAATTAACTGAATGGATCCATTTACTTTTTAGACTGGTGCCAACTGGCTTCGCTGGCTGATGGGAAAACCAAAGAATGAAGCTCACCTTCCAGATGACAAGAACAAATCAGTAAGATCCCCTAAAGCACAAAAACTCATACAAGTTCTAATTTGTTCAGAATGTTTTCCTGCATGACGGATAAATGTTGTTTTGACACGTAAACAAATGTGTGTAAAACTTGAAACATTATGCTTATTCCAAGACTGGCTTTTTAAAACAAAGTTTTGATTTTCTATGTTACTTTTTGGCTTAACAACTTTGTTTGAACCCCTGTTCTTTGGCTATGATTTTCTTGTAGATTGTTTGGGATGAACAGAAACAGCGCTGGGTTAATCTAGATGAACCAGAAGAAGAGGTAAAAATAAGAGTATTTGATATTTCTCCAAGTGAAAAACTGAAATCTGTACTGGCACATGATTTTCTTTAGTTGGTCATTGGCTCTTAAGAGCTGCCTTTTCCTGAATTTGGGTTAAAACGTGCAGCATTTTGAAACTAACAAACAGGTGAAATGTTCTTAGAGTCTGCGTTGTGGAACCATTTGTATCTTTAGTTGCTGGTTTAGATCCAGTGACTGTGAATGGAATTTGCTCTAAACTCAGTCCAGTGTATCTCTTCGTAGAGGCTGGCACTGCCTGGAAAATTGCTTATTAATTGAACTGCTGCAAGTGGAATGTAGGGAAGAAAGGTAGGAGGAGTCTATAGTTCTGAAAATGTAAGATGTGGAGTAGCAGAGAAAATCAGACAAGCAAGATTCACTGTTAGAAATGTTTCCTTTTAGAGTGAGCGTAGATCCAGCCACAGTTGAACAAAGTTTCACACCAAAGTGTCTGTCTGCCTTCTCTCCGTCAGCCGTGGTTGGGTTATTTTTGTTCCCCCTGCAGAGTAAGCCTCCGCCGCCACCTCCAGCAGGATTCCCTAAAGCTCCTCAGGCTGCTCCACCTGGACCTGGAGGCCCACCTAGTGCCCCTGTCAACATGTTCTCCAGGAGAGCAGGTAACAGACAACAGTGGTACTTCAGGTGTGGAAGACTTCAGATTTTTCTCTTGCATAACGCTTGGCAGCTCAGCGATACCACGGAGCTGTGGCTTTTGCTGCCTTTGCTCTCATGCACTGTGGTTGCTGTCACCATTGTCCTGTGACTTGGGTAGTGTTGCTTGTATCCCTTGGCCATTATTTTCTGATTCTGAAACACGACTTAACCGGCAGGTTGTTTGAAATAGAGGTGGGGATGACCAACACGAGACTTATTTCTCTTATTTCTGGATTTTTCCTGGTTTAGCTGGAAGCAGAGCCCGTTACGTTGATGTCCTGAATCCAAGTGGAACCAAGTCAAGTGGTGCTCTCCCTCCACCGTCAGATCTGTTTGCCCCCTTGGCACCAATGCCAATTCCTGCAAATGTATTTGTTCCAAACTCAGGTGTGTCACAAGTGGACGAAATTGTAAGGAGGTTATATGGTTATTTGTGGTTATGTAGTTGTCTGTGGTCGGACAGCGCATATATTCCATAGCCTTTAAAGAACATGTAAGAATGTTCAGTCTCCTTAATTCCAATTTGGTTTAGAAGTAGAATTGATCTGGGAACTGCAGTAAAAAAAGAGGGTTAGTAAAGCTCTGCTCTGCATGCTGGACACTTGCTTGCCATGTTTTCCTGCTTTCACTATGTGCTGTGTTGGCCCAAGGTTATTTGTGTGAACTGTCCTTATCTGCTACTCAAAGACTTTAGCAAGACTAGGGCATCTAGAGACATTGGCACTGCCCTCTTTAAATTACCCTTTTCCTGGGAGAAGATTGGGGTTGTAGAAGTTCAGTTCTGCTGTCCCTGCTTCTCACTCTGTGAAATCAAGCAGCCTCGTGTAGGATGTGTTTGGCTAAATCCCATTCCCTTTGTAGTTGCAGGGGAACCTCAGCTGATGGAAGGGAGCGGTGCAGCAGAGCACAGCCCGGCTGCACATCAGACCAACGCAGACCCTGCTGCAGCTGCTG